GCGAGGTAACCAAAATAAAAGGGAACACCCCGCGGGTACTCAAGTGACCGCCATTATGGCCTGAGAGGTATTAAGAAGTGACCATCAAGAATTCCAGGCAACACCTGGAAACCACGAATCATCCAAAAGAAGCCACGCAATTGCTTAAAGGCATTTCTAAAGAGATTCTTTTCACTTTTTTTCTTTCTTCTATTGAACACGGAGGACCAGTAACTTAAACAACCCTTCAATGATAACCGCAGATAGAAGCAGCTCAAAAGAATTAAAAATGTCGGTAACCTAGGAATGGACCACGGATTCCTCGATATCGACAAATGAAAATGCAAGCTAATAGGGGCGCATCTGCTCCGAGTGCCTCCCCCCATTGGTTACCGGGGGTTGGCCGGGATCATGAGATCACCTGCACTCCCTATTCAACGAAAGTGATAAGATGGCTTCCCGGAATTGGCACAATTCAACAGATGATTTCTTGTTGACAAAACAAGAGGACATCTCCAGCTTCCACTCCATTTGACACGCGAGTTCTCTAATGAAGAATAGTTATCCATCGTCAAAGAAGATCTACAATTTATGGGCCATGAACGTCAGAAAAATTCGTAAACATGCCACGTTTAACATTAGAAGAACATTAATTAGAGAGAGGCGAATGCGCGATCATCCCCTCTTTTTCTCAAAAACTTCTCCCGCACCTGGGAAAATGGGGGGTGACACCAGGATGAGGGTACACCGTCCAGAAACCTCCCTTCTGAATACATTGTTGAACATATGAAGATGCCTCCCACGACACTTCAAAAAAACGTTGGATGACGGAATATCAAAACGCTATCGGTCGTAGAGAAATCACGCCTGAACAGTATATAAAAGGCGGTTTTTCGCCAAATCAGTCAGTCTAAATTAAATGTTGCTCGAAATCTTCAGGTAGTACCCTGCTCGTCATCCACTTGACTCTTCAAGAATCGTCTTCAAGGGACCAACTCTGCAGGACCAGCCTCTGACGTCACAACTGATCCTAGCCTGACTGTACGACTCAACTCCCCGTATAACGCTAGATCGAATGTGCAACTATAATTCAAGCCGACCAGTCCATTGTAAAATTTCGCCTTGCTCGCTATTAAAGCTGACCCTCCGAAATCCGTCTGTTAGCAAGTAGCCCTGCTAGACCGCTCCCTTTTTATCGCGACTGACGCATAGCTTGATCGTGCAACTCCACTCTTCTCGTCGCGTCGGATCATCGGTGCCAATTTAACTAAAAGTGGCTCGTCTCTTGAAATTATTCATCGAATGGTATCCAACCTGTTGTTTAGTTGACTCTCCAAGAACGAGGCAACTCTGCGGAACCAACTCTTGTGATCGAAATAGCCTTCATCCCGAGTGTTCAGCTCAGCGAATTGTCTCGTTAAGCCAGCACAGACCTGAGGGTCTCCTCAGGGATCATGCTACGGCTACCAGTACAAAGCTAGTGAGCCACCAAGTTGTTCCTGAGTGTGCAACTCAGCCCTGTCAACACCAGCAGCACCTCCATAGTTATTACCACATCATATTCATCAGCACCAGAGCTGCGTGTTTGAGCGTTTTCAATTCCATTAGCTCTAGAGGAGCTAGCATATTTTTGGAGTTCTCCAGAATCCACTACAAAGAAGAAACACCGAGATATCGCCACCGTTCTTCTGCCACCGTAAGTCAGAAACACACACGAACAAGATTTAAACTATTCTCTCCTACACTTTTTCCAACCCTTCCTTTTTCTCTACCCCTGGTTTTTATCTTGGACTTTTACTATCCTGTATTTTAAGTGAAGTGTAATAAATTAAAAAATCCATTTTGTACAAAAATGAGGCTGATCCAGGGCACTGGATCGATCGGACACAATCGGAATAATTCGGGGATGGGGTCGGGTGCCATGGGGGGTTACTCTGACCACATACATCACTACGGATTCATCCATCAATCAAAGCACATCGCTAATATCAGCATCTTATCATTCATATTTTCGTGTGGTTTTGATCGAGTTTATATATTTTTTATACTCATCATTGGTTTCTTATCATTAACATTTTTTGGTTGCAATCATCATCATACTTATTGGACAGTCATCAAATGTAAATTGTGTACATTTGGGTTAAATTAAATTGATTCGCCTTGCGGCTCAATCAACGTGTTTTTTATCCCATTGGCAAACTATCACACCCCTTCCACTTCCAATCCACCCTACCCGGAAAAAACATCAACTCGCAAACACATTTAAAGGAAAGTTAAGTATCTTTCTCTTTATGTGCTGTAAGAGTATTCTCTCCCGGGTCAACACGCCGGGATAATCCTCGAACTACTCCGGCTGCCGCCTCTATCGTTCACGATTGGACGCCAGCCAAGTTTTTATGGAAAACCTGACGGAAAACCAACCGCGAAGGAATTTCGTCCATTCCGCGGACTTTCAGTGGCGGGTCTCACAATGCCGAGCTAGCATCAGCATGACACGGTAGAGTGGGCGAGGTTCGCCAACGTGCGAGTAACTCCAATCGCTAACTTCCGCCGCGCTTACGGCGTCGTTATCGATATCTTTCGGGGGACGTATTCCCCAAAACTCTCGTGGAGGAATGTGACCATCCCTCGCACGTTGTACTCTCTCCTCTGGGGTGGTTCAACCCCAAAAGAGACACAGATCACCTGCGAATCCTTCTCACCCCGCAGGGCGCCGAACTTCTCGAGGCACATGCGATGCAGATATCGGGGGACCTTTCTCACCCACCTAATGTCCACCCCAACTCGAGAGCTCGGAAATAGCAATCTCATCACGAGTCAAAATCAGAGGTACTCCTTATGGAGGCGCGCACGACCGGACCGACGGGAAACGCTTGGAATCCCGGCCCTTAGTCCACCCCAATACCATGAGTTTCGCCCTAGAGATGGATCTCTGTAGCCTCAGACTCTCGTCCGCAGCCCCAAAGTAATCCATTTTACTGATCGGGGACGCATAAGCGTCCCCTTCTCTCGCTATTCCAAGATTCCTTGGAACCACGTACCCCTCATAATCCCGGCAGGGATTATTGCCACCAACTGATCCCGAGCTCCTAAAACATCCGCTCGAGACCAGCACTCAACGCGAACTCTTCTGAAATCTCCCAGGGCCTTCTCCCCCTAGTCTGAGCATCTCAGTGACTGTGGGTCATCCGTTACCCTACAGCCACCAATCAACTCGACGGGATCCCGGGGGCGCTAGTCCTTTCACCTAGACATTGGTCCCTGGTCTAAGTCAACGGCGCCCTTCAAAACGACCCAGTTGGAACGCCTGTACGTCAGCCCTGGACTCCCTAACACAGCTGGGTAGATTTCCGAATTGGGAAACAGCTATCGCCAGCGCCATCATAGTGTTCCGAAACATGGTCTCACCCTACCACGTTTCCTCCCACTATGTGATTGGTAAAATTCACCTTCGGAGCGGCCTCATTGGCCATCGTCCGATGTTTTACTCATCCTTCGCTCGGCTATTTCAGCCGGCGTTAGACACAGATCACCTGCGAATCCTTCTCACCCCGCAGGGCGCCGAACTTCTCGAGGCACATGCGACGCAGGTATCTGGGGACCTTTCTCACCCACCTAATGTCCACCCCAACTCGAGAGCCTTTCGCCTAGTGACTTTTCTAGGGTTTTCTCTAGTAACGAGAAAAATCTCATTACAGTGCTAATTCCTCATTTAATGACCATTGTGTACTTCAGTACTTAGTCCCACGCAATAGGCCCCACTAAATGAGATTTATAAAATCCCCTCTCCTCCGGACACTATCTGTCGCAACTGGTTTCGGTCACCTCACCTCAAGGATTCACCTTTTATTCGATGATTCGACCTACCCAACGACCGAGTGTCCGCAACAGCCCCCAAGAGCTGGGTGGACAATGTCCCTGTCGAAACCATCCTCGAGAGAGGAAACTGGACCTGAGCGTGGACACTTCCAGGAAATTCTAGTGCAAGGTGGACCAGCAGAACCTCCCTCAGGATTCAACTAGGATGGCTGTAGGCAAAAACTTCCGGAAAATTTAAAGCCTAATCATTGCGTTTTTTCTCTACTACTCCGTGTTTTATTCCATCCCGTTATAGTGTTATTAAGTGCGTTCTTTTGGTCGCCACAACCGCCAGGCCCAGGCAGTGACAGTAAATAACAAGCTTTTAAACCTTATAGTATATTGCTCACCTAGGGAGGAAAAGTAGACAAGTACTTCCCACGTGCAAAATTACCACCCGAGCCGTATGCACGTGGGAAATGCTTGTCTGATTATCCTCCCGAGGGTTGCATACCATTTTTCTATCGATATGCGGCGAAAGTGACGTTTCTAACCGAACGAAGTGAGGTTAGAATGCTCCCTTTCGGCGCATGTAGGCAGAAAAAGCTTTTCCAACAGTCTAATATTTTATGTGGAGCATAAAGTCACCATTTCAGAGCTTCGCATAGCATTCAGTTCTTTCAAAGTATTCACCAGGAGATAACAAACAGGGCTCTCATTGAGGGATACCGTGTGTCGGCCAAAGACACATAATGTTGGTATATTGCATCAAACAAAATACTAATTATGCGGTGGAGCCGATACACGGCATCTTAGTTCAGTTCTTCCTGGTGAAGAAAGCCGCTATGAGTCAACCGCCGTTGACGGCTTAGTACCAGGCGAATACTGAAGAGAGCGACAAGAGAGAGGGTGACTACAACAGCTTCCCTCATTGAGAGATGCCGTGTACCGGCTCCAGCACATAATCAGTATTTTGTTTGATGCAAAATACCAACATTTTAGTTTTCAATTTCTGATTAAAAAAAGATAAATTCATATGTCACCTTCATGAACAATACGTTAGTGCTTTGGAAAATTTTCAATAATATCTAGAAGCTGATTCTAAGCCAAAACTGTCAATAACCGGCCCAACGACGGTAATGGAAACAGTTTTGAACGCATCACTGTAAGTTTGCACTCACATGCCCACATACATATAGACTTTTCTTAAAAAACATCACTTCTCGACATTTTATGGGATTATGTATTTCCAATAAAAATACAGAAATTGAAAAAATAGCAATTACATAGCTTCCATTCGGAAGAAAGAACGAGAGAGCCATTCTGAAAAATCATGTTATATTAGACGGAAAACTGGCATAAGTCCGAAAAAGTGATAGTAAATAATCGAGGTGATGCAACAAAATTCTAATTGTCAAATTAAACTCTGAGTCATCACGTTCACTCCATTCATTTCTCGCCTAACTAAGATCCCTATGATTCCGGCCATAGCTTCAATCTGCCCTTTCAATGAATTAATCGTACTTTGAAGAGCATTAATTTCTTCCGAAAATTTCGAATTGAGAGTTTTAATTTCATCTGTCAAAGCAGAAACTGTATGAGTGAGAATGGTTATTGGTTCCATGGATTGGATATTCTCTGATGTTCCTAGTATTTCGGGATTGAGGAAATTTAGAAGCGATTCTTCTTTCATTTCAGATGAGGACTCAGACAGCACTGGAACAAATCCGGAATCTGAAAAAATAATTTATTTTGACATTTCCGTTACAACTTCAACATATTGATGAAAAATAGAAGACATGAATTACCCAATCGGGAAATATCACAACTGGAAATTGTTAAAAAAAGTTCTCGTTCATCAGAGGTTACTATAAATTGAAAATGTTACTATACATTGAAAAAACAATCGCAAATTCAAAACTTCTTAGATGACAGTAATTCAGAGAAAAGCGTTGAGTATTTACAGAAGTATTGGGTCATCTGTGATGGATTTTCTTGAATGTCTTTGATAATTTTATTAATTCTGTTCGCCATAGGAACCAATTGTTTACTGGTTTTCTCAGCAAGGAGGTTGCAATCTGAGTCCCAGTAGTATGGAATACACTGTTTCTCGCATGCCTCACTTAGTTTGATTAACATCTGCAATTGAAGAACAATTTAGCATTTGGGAATTACTTTCGCCGCCAATAAGACACGGAACTTGATACTATTATAACTATCGTTCATTTAATAGAGTAATGTGTCAAATTGGATCTCATAGACAAGTGCACATAGAGTTTCTGTTCTGACTTTATTATTTCACATACAATTTTTAAATTGACTCTTAACAAACTTTGCATTCACGACTTACGTGAACGAGGAGAGAACTCATCGAAGACCCGATCAGATCAATTTCCCTTGTATGTAACTCATGATAAACTAATGTCTCGATGTAATAACTGGCCAAGACTGAAGACCAATTTTGGCAATCTCTTAATTTCTAAAAAAACAATAATAATATTTTTGGCGCAATGTATTCTAATGGCCAAATAAACTGATTAATCCATCGAAAAACGATACCTTCAGGTGTCTTATAACAGGCTTGATTTTCCCGTTTTTACTCAACAATGATTTCTCATATGAAAAGAAGGAGAACCTCCAGTTAAATTGGGGATTATGCCCAATCTTCATTGGTTTTGGTACCAGATACCACGGCTGATCAACATTCAGCAATCGTGTGAACACCTTCAGATTGGGTCTGGAATTGAATTCCAGAGCTGGCACCAAATCCAAATCGAGATGTCCACCCTCGTAAACAACCTGGAGCGTGAATGCTGGACCACTTTTGCGTACCTTTATCTTCAAAGAATTTGAACTTCTTAAAACAATTAAACTTGTATTTCTATATGTACATACTTTTATTTGAATTCAAATACTCCTCAGCATATAATACCGATTTTTTAAGACATTTTCATATTTACATTCACAGAACGGGTTTCCCCAATAGGGAGAATAAACCAGCCTTCCTGGCCCTCCATCAGCGTCGAGAACGATTTTGTGATAACGCCTTCAAACCATTTTCGTACTTTGTCATTACTAAGGTAATGTTCATCCTCCGAAATCCATCTGTCCAGTACCCTAATAAAGAAGAAACTGATTGAACTGCCCTACTAGTCAATCAAATAATGCGTTCATTGTGCAAAAGAACATTATTGCCTACTTCCTATGGGTCTCCCAGAGGGGTTTGTGAGAGTCTGGAGGAAGCCTTATTCTTGCATATCCGGGAAGACCTTCTTCAAACTATTTTCAAAAGAAAATGCGTGTACATTTAGATGCAATTCGATTGTTCTCCCGAAATTTTAGGAGACTGTGCCAATGACCATGCCAATCCGTGAATCCCCAAAAATAGTAGAAATCAGACGAAATATTCAACCCACTTTCCTCCTGGCATTTCGGAAGAAAAATCCAATTTTTCATAAAGATATGATGGAAAAACTTACTCTGATCTTCTCATAGATTACCGGAAGCTTTATAATCAAATCAAGATCAAATTCAGTTGGCTTCCCCACCCTCGTTTTTTTGTAGAAACTCCCAGCAAACTTTACTTCTTGGAACATGTCTTTGAACAACTGATCCTTACTCTTCATTAGCTCCATCACCGTTGTACGGACCTTGCGACAATTCAATCGATACGAAAATGAGTACCTTGCGCATAATTCTTTGCAAAAACTAATAGAAAAATATTCTATATATGCTCATTATATATAATCTTTAATAAAACAATATCGTTGCATTTTTTTATCGTTTCACATTTTTTCATCAGAATGTGCTGGAAAGTGACTCTTCAAACACGCTCCGCTTCGCTTGGCGCGTCTAAGAAGTGACGTTCCCGCACACTGCCAAGAAAAACATTGTTCGCAACTCGTGCAGAAAGCCTCGCCTTCGGCTTGTGCTATATACCTTCCGCATACCAAAAACAACTTTCGGCACTTGTATCGAAATATACTATTTCATAGATGGATATTTTCTCTTGAGGGATTATATTGAATTACCTCCATTAATAGAGAGTTCATCGGTTTCAAACGTCTGTCTGGGATTGTAATAAAGTAATTAACTTGATTGAATACTGTGTCGTCGCGGAGTTGTTTATTCATTGCTGCTTCACTCATCTATTAACAATTACCAATTGGAATCACATTGACAGGTATGGTTTGGGTGATGATTACTAAAAGTCACATAGAAGAATATTATTATGGAATCATTTCACGTGTTAAATTACTATCATTGATAAGCACATGCACGGAGAGAGAAGTCCAAGAAAAATTATAGGACCGAACACTAGAATGGTGGTGCAAAATGCTAGGATACCAGAATTTCCTTGGATCTCAAATAAAAATGACTATTAGTATCGTAAATTTTCTAATGAATTCCGCAATTAACAGCATTATAAAATTTGGAAGTATCATTTTTTCTTTGAGTTTGAAGGAAAAATTGATAGAATTCCTTTGAAAATTCCTATCAAGATCGGTATTTTTTTTTGTGTGCTTTTTTTAAATTTTTAATTGCTTTGCTACACAGCATTTTTTCTGAACATTTTTTAACCCAATATGATAGGTTGGTGATGAACATCGAATGCCTCCAATTCCTGCCGAAGCTGAATTTAACGCTGGTAATTATTGTAATGACTTTCAATTTTTACTTAGCCGATAAATACGTTTTCCTAGTCTGATGTAGAAATGCTACTGAGCAGTATAGTGATTTTTCTCTGGCTGGCAGTTTACACCGAGATTGAAATGCAGCACAATAATTTTTATCGAAATCACACTATAAAAATTCATAAATTTTTCTCTCCGTGCGGGTTCCTTTATCATTTTACGTTGCCACATGTAGGAAAAGTCAGATTTCGAATATATGACATTGCTCCCACCGGGACGCAAAAGATCTTGACTAGATCATTTCGACTTTTCAGATGAAGAACCACGTCATTGAATGACGGTTAAGAATTGTAGCCAAGAAATTACCTAAGATCAGAATATTGGGGCATATTTGAGGAGAAAATAAGTAAAAAAGAGTAGGATCATTTATAACTATCCTCAATAATAATCTTGCCTTTCCGACCTTGGCAGTACCTTTCTTCAGTTTATTAGTATATTCCTCACCTCTGGAGGAAAAACAGATAAGTCTTCCCTGCATGCAAAATTGCCACTTTTGCCAAAATTGCTTGTCTGTGTTTCCTCCCAAGGGTCCAACAGGATATTTCCCGCTGCGCGGGAGGAAAGTTACCCTCTCTACCAACACCGTGTTGAAAAAGCAGATGAGTCGAAGTGAAAGTACTGATATTCACGGTGCCAATTTTTGACAAATAGCTTACAGATTATTATTTTTTATTTCTTTATTTATTTTTTTTTTCATTCTTTTTTTCTTATTCCATACTTTATAGTACTGCCAGTTGCAGCCCTGTAATAATGGAATTATCGTATATCAAAAAACAAAAACAAAAATACAAATGAATATAGATATAGATTTACATATACAGAAAATTCAAAAATTTTATAAAAATATGAAATCTATAGTGTACCACAGCCACGACTCAATACAGCTCAACAACTATGGATAAAATTAACCCAACTTCTTCGCCCATTTTAATTGTGACTAGAAGGCAGCCGTTTTGGGGGTCCATCCGGGTTAATTTGTCGTTTTATTGTTAGAATTATAGGAGAGAATGTATTGCGTGAGAACTATTAATGCGACATATCCTAATTATCTATGAAAAATCGAAAGTTTTTCATAAAAATAAATGAGAAAAATGAAACGTGAAAAAAATCTCTCACACACATTAATGACATTGTTTGAGCACGAATAAAAAAGGAAGAGTTAGAAAATACATACCATCGTTTATAAGAAGTCTGTAAGACGACGTGGATGATCACATGATTTGAAAAAGAGCAAAAAAAGAATGAGATTATAGCCGCAGTCCTACTGCAACGCCTGACAACGCTTGGCAACGTCTGACAACGCCTGACAACGCCGCGTAATGTGCGTTTAATGATGAATTGACAGGCAGACAGAATGTTGACGCGGAACGACTTCAATTCGCTTCAATTCACTTCGTTCCTATTCCGTGCACTAGTGATTAAATTCACTATTATATCTATTATTCGTGCTAATATAATGAGGAAGCTGTTGCCGAACAAGAACTCGAATATTCCAAATTAGCACGGCTCTCAAAAAATATTTCGTTGAAATAGTATAAATTTTTAATAATTTTTTTGATAAAATCAAAATGAAAATCAAAATCAAATAATTACTCGAATTTTGTTCGTTTTGAAATTGAGCCCAACTGTTCCACAACCTGCTTCATCATTCGTTTATCTTTAGATATACCTTCGACGGTTCGTTAACGCAACATTCTGAACGGTGATTTTTTTTTGAAGCTGCCATGTAATCTCCTCTTCCTGGAAAATAATTCAATCATTTCATTGCACAATTACGTATACCATCGTCAGACGTACTTACGTGTTCCACCCTCTTATTTATCAACAATATTTTTACGTTTCATTCGACGATAGTTTCAAGTACCTGATTGAAGAATTAAAAACGTGATAAACTAAAAAAGAAAAGGGAACTTTTAATAATATTTTATGAAGCAAAGAATGATATAAATGTTTTATACTTTTTGTTCAGATTACATTTGTTGGATTATTCTCTTTATTTAATTTTCTGAAAAAGGTTTGGTTTATTTGATATTTTATATCGAGTGAAGCTGCTTTTTCTTGCATGAATTTTTTTTATTAGTCCATGATGTTTTCGTGTGATTTAACATTTACAAAAATTGGGCTATTAATCCATAAGATACAAATTATCTCCTCAGTTTGTCTTGCCACATTATTAGGTAATAGAATACCTATTCCTTGCTTCGACTCATGAGAACGATCTTGTTTACGTTTGGAGGAGGCGTTTGTTACTTTTATTTTTACCCATACTTGCTACTTGAGTGATGCTGTCTACGTTTTAATTGTAATGTTTATAAGAAGCGGACATTTAATAATATAATTTTAATGATTACACACACGACTAACTCTGCATGAATGTTTTTTTGTTCATTATCTTATATTAGTGGTTTTAGCTCAATAAAAATTGATTGTTTTTAGAACTATACAAATCGATAGTTTCATAGTTTATTTATAAATTGAAATTAAAAGACATATGTCACGTATCAGAGGTTAATTTTCATGCGGTTTGAATAATCATTTCTTTTTTTCTTTACAAGTATTATCAAATTTTTTAGTTTATATAGATTTTTCATGTGTCTCTGGAAATTTCACTCCTCCATATTTATTCCCATGTTTATGCTCGTTCATCATTAGATTTATTCAAATAAATTTATTTAGTCATTTTTTTCTTAACTACGATGACTTATGTTTAATTGCCATTCTGAATAGACAATTAGTCAGTGCTTTTTTGTTTTTAATTTGTTAATTATGATAAAATGATAAATTTTCTCGCGGTTGATTTTGAAAATTTGCAGGACTATTTTATATGAATAAATTAGCCAGACCGGTCAGAATTAAATCGTTCCATTGTAAAAATTTACAGTTTTCTTTTCATTCAGTTAGATAGACAAAAGAAAATACATATTTACTTGCTCGGTCGAGTGTACGGAGCAGAGCGATATCGTGATGCTGAACCGGAGGTTGTTGTTGTCTTGTAGGATTTCCAAGCTCTACCCGAAGACTCCTCTGTGAATTCAACGAATTAATCTAGATTTCTATTTTTTAATTATTTAAGCGGCTTGATCCGCACCAAAAACAAATATCGAATGATCAGTAAATTTTAACACATAAGAACATATAAGATATTTCACTATTTCCATTCCTCAATTTTCCAAATCTTTCTCGATTTTTGAATCGACGTCAGTTAAATGAAATAGAACTTACCGGGATAATCAGAGGTTTCGTAGTAGTCATGCGATGAGTGTGGAGGAGGATCATCGTCATAGTCATAAGTACTGTATCTCGAAGATGAGTAAACATCATCTCTATAAGCACTTGACAAAACAAGCGAAACAAGTTACTTAAGATTGTTACAGACCACTTTTATCACAGTTCTATTATATAGGATAAAAATGGATAGAAAAAACCTTACGAAGAAGGAGGTGAGTAGTGGCGATCGTATCTGCTGCTGCTGCTTGATGATCCATGATAATCATAATCGTGGTGGGAACGACTGGGAGGTGGAGGTGGTGTTGGATCATCATATCTATCGCCGGAGAGTCTATAAATTCGACAGGGTTAAGGGACAGTTCATCAATCTTGAAAATCACTACAAACAGTTCGTCAAGTTTTCAGCTTACCCATAACTCTGATCCATGGCTACTCTAGCTCGATCCAAAATGGAAAACACTTTCGTTTTTGCTGGGACAGGACGAGTTATCAATCCACGCGACGATGGTGGCGGAAGCATAGCTGATTGATCGAGAACACACCAGGGAAATCAAATGACAGTAAGGCAACATAAAGCAAAAATCATCAACTCAATCTCAAAATATGAAAAATAGTGAACGTACCGCGTGAGGACCTTGGAGGTGCAGGTCGACTGCTTGGTCTTAGAATCCCTGTAGATCTGGAGCTAGGTCGTCTCTCATCGCTGGAGCTAGGGTCATCCGACATGCTCAGCTCCATCTCCCTCATTTGCTCCTGTCTTATATTGTCATTGTTATCGGGTATGAGGTACTTTCGTACTTCAGCAAGAGCGAATGCGATTCTAGCGTGTGCTTCCGCTGGTGGAGCGAGAGCCGCTATTTCTACGTGCAAATCGTCAGCAAGGTGAGCATATTTTGGGTCCAAAGATTGTCTGCATTCTTCCTCCTTAAAAAATTTCGTTCTTTAATCATTTCGTTAATTCTTTGTTGTTTTAGAATAAGCCAAATAAGTCCATATCTTTTATGGTAATTTCCGTATTTTGTTATAGCACCTAAAATTTCAACAACAATTTGATTTATCTTTAGAAATCTATAAAATCTATAGAAATATATGCAATAGATAGATAAGATAATATAAATAAAATTTTCTCTACATTTTTTAATAGTACTTTTTTAATGAGAAAATTCTTTTATTATTAATTATAAATGTCGAAGCCTATAAATGACTAGATGAATATAAATCACATCATCGAAGGATGTGAAGTACAACCAAGGCGACCACATCCCCTAAGAATATTTCCTCGTTGAGTGACTCCTCGGGGAGTTTTCTATCTCTCCCGGAAGAAAACGACAGGATTACTCCGGCCAAGTACAGAAAATCGATTGCCACTATTGGATTATTTACGGTGCGCATGTGACCACATTTATTCTACGTCCTGGATGTGAAAAAATAAAACGAGGATAGATCGAGGAGAACCAGACCATGTATCCAGACCAGGATCTAGCCCTAATTTTGTTAGCTCTTTGTGGTAAAAATGAAATATGAAGAGTTAAAATTTAATAATCCATCACAATGGGCACATGAGAGTTTATCTTTGTTTACCACTTGTTAGCGATAATTGAGCGTTTGTTAGCAAACTAAAGAGCTTGTTCACTTGCCTTTTGTCTGTCTTTCATCGATCCACGACCCAATACTGCCATTTTACACATGGTTTCCTCTTGCAGACGTTTCATTGAATTACCCTTTGGTCCCAATAGTTTTCCGACAAAGTTGAACTGCAATATAAATTCATAATTTCATACTGAGATCAGCACTAACTATTTCATTCTATCATACGTACTATAATCACCTACACAATCTACATTTTGTAAATTATTTGCCACTTTGATAAACAAATGGAATCTCATGTAAAGTACTCCGACAATGCTTCGGACTTTATTTTAGTTTTTGTTCAACTTTGTTAATATAGTTCTGGTAATGTAGGAAATTGTAAGGACAAAACTCTAAGAAATATCTCTCAAAAAATTAAGGTCGAAAAAAAATTACAAGTAACAAAGTAGCTATGGTTGTCATGGTCGTCCTACTTAGAAATGCATCATCGTTCACACAAACATCTTCGATAAAGTTGCGAGGATCTGTCGAATCAGGGTTGAACAAGTGATAAAAACGGTAGACCGAAGAAAATCGAAATCAATATCATGATACTGGAAAAACTCATATGCGATGACTCAGTTTCGTAAATCGAAGGAAACATTTGACAATTGATTCTATATAATTTCGTAAAATACATTTCAGTATGTTTTATAAATTTGAGATTATTTGTATTTGCCTAGTGCCTTCTCAAATCTTTGAATAAAGTCCAGCATGCCCAGAATGGTATAATCGGTCTGAAAATTAAAAAAAAATAATTTCATGCGTTTATAATTAGAAAAATGTTCCAAAAATGTACTCGCCAATGCAATTTTTAAAGGTGTTTCCTTCCTTCTAAATATGTCATTATGAATATAGTTTTTTCTTCTAATAAAACGAGTTTATACTAACTTTATTAACAATTAATTGAAAAATTACTAAAATATTGTCTGAATTGTATTGTTAAGCAGGAATAATCTGAAGCCCATGGATTTTCAAAAGTAAACAATTTAAAAGTCAGTAATAATTCATTTGTTATACTCGCAATAAGATAGAGTTTTGCGTTGAGTCAAATCCTGCTCAACCTTTACGTAAACGACCTGGAAATTATACTGAAATGAAGAGGAGCTGGAGACGCACAAATAGACTTAGGAGAAAATTTCTGGACTAAGAATAATTATAATAAGTAATTAGATATAGTATACTATACTAGATGGTGAATCAAATGGATTGAGCAGGTACTTGACGAAAATAATGCTATTTAGACAAAGAAGTCGAAGTTAAAAGTAAGGCTGATTATATAAGGAGAGGGATGTTATCAAAGGTTACGAAAGAATTTGAATACTTGGGCTTTTGGTTAGCAGTGGGTAACCAGTATAACACCTATGCACGAAGGGTAAGCAGGAAAGATACAGCAGTCTTCCAAGAGCAAAGGGATGACGGACAGGGATACAGACGAGTGTCCGATGAATGCAACGACAAAGGTGGGAGTTTCGTAGGTACTAAAAATCTGGGGTTAGGGCAGAAGATAGATGATGAACCAGGTACAGAAAATGTTTTTTAAGGCTAGTAGGGGCCTATCCCCGAATATTGCTGATTATGTTTGGAAACTAGAGGCTAACTAGAAGAGTACAGCCGTAGAACTCTTCAAGAGGACAGCCCATTATGTGATGAATATTATGTTGCTGGGAGATGAGAGGTGGGCCACAAAGTGCATTCTTGAAGAAATTGAAGAAATGAAAAATAAACAGCCAACGGCGTAACGGAGTAAGATACGGAGTGATCTGCGTTCAGTTGAAGATGGTGACTTGTCTGTAGGCAGCACCCCCTTCCTGCGGTCACTGTAAATGCTGATATAAAAAGAAGAAAAAAAATGATCTCGAAATTCTGGGAATATCTCGAATGACCGAAAGGGTTAGAACCATAAGGTAAAACCGACCGGCCACCACGACGTGGCAGCGAAATTTAACTAATGCGGAAAAATTTGGAAGGATTTAATTTACAAATTATTGAACGAATCTTGCGTGGGAGGCGGTGGACGCGAATTTATGGAAAACAGCTGCACCAATCGAACTGAATTACGGCACAGACTTAGTCCTTAGTAATATCTGTAATTTGGTGATATTTGACCGTTCTCGGAATAACTTTAGCCATTTACTCCTTCTATTTTCTACAAGAGTGTTCCAAGTTGACCATGTACACATACACACATGGTACTCAAATTTTGAATTTTGATGTCTCAGACCATTCTACATTACTTCCAAACAAAATTAGCGAATTCGAAAATCTGACGACTACAAAGCTTCCGTTCGTAAGCAAAAAGAAGAAAAGAAATTGATCTCGAAGTATCTCAAAATGTCGAAAATGATCGTGAGGGTAAAACAATAAAAGTACAAAGTTCGAGCCGGCTGCGTAATATGTTTACGCAACATATTTAACCAGAATACCATAAAATACATTCGCAAAATATTGCTAGCCGTTGTTGCATAATAGTATGTGCCTTCAGCCTGGATTCTGATCAAATATATTGCTAATAGTTATTTTCACGCCTAACGGTGGAAAACTAATCATCCCTGTCCACAAGCAAGATTTACATCCGAGCTGAAGGCAAGGATGGCAAGCATGTGGGGGATTGTGATCTGTTCTCCACGACGGGGATTTAACGAAATTTTTCCAGATGCTTGAAACCGTGTGGTATCTCTTACTTTATGTTACGAGACCTGGAAGACAGAGTATTTTTATTCACGATATTGATTGAGAAGGATCTACCAAATTTGCAAAAAAATAATTTAAAAATACGCAGCTTGCCATCGGCCTCTACTACACAGAGAGAACTATTCAATAAAAATTACATGTATTTTCCGTAATTCTAGAGCGAAACGTAGTTGTCGAAAATTTTACGGAACTGTCACGTCATTTTTATCTAAAATCACAGAATTTTTCTGCGGTGCTCCGTAATTTTTATCTGAATTATCGGTGAAAAATTACGATACCGTCACTTAAATTTTTTGAATCGACTCCGTAATCGGTAAGTGAACTGAAAGTTCCGTAATTTTTAATAAATATTTCTCTCCGTGTAGATTGAGTAACAGCTAAAAAAATTACAAAAAATTTGAAATTTCGTTAGATAATAGGTAAGAGTTGAGGCTAACTCTGGACCCAGATTCAGCTCGATCGGTTCAGCCGGTTGTGAGCAATCGTGATTTGTTTATAAATCGTTTTCCCGAAATATCTCCAAAACTAAGAAGGGTAGTTTCTGTTTATTTCATCCTCTTCGTCATGATTGGCTCCATTGGAATCAATCAAAGATTGGAAAGTGAACTCTGCAAAAAACCATAGTTATTGGCACTTTCATATATATGCGAAAAAAATTGTTGTTCGTCCTCTCACCCGCGCAAAAATCGAGCTATTAACTTTAAATTTGCTCGAGATTGTTCTTCTTTCACTACAACGAGTGGTATTGAAAATTAGCTCAATTGAAAAACTAGTTTCGGAGAGATTCAATTTTTAGTATAAAAGGATTATATGGAATATCTTAAAAATTAACATGATTTTCCTTTTAAGAGAAAATTGTCTTGATGTCCTCTATCATAATCAATTTAAACATATATAGTCGCCCATTCAAAGTGTTCGAGATATTTAGATTTCTCCGTTTTCAGTTCAAATCGTTCTTGGCCCTATCACCCGCGTAAAAACTATTAATTATTAACTTGAAATTTGAACGAGATTCTACATTTATCACTACAATGAATAATATTAAAAATGAGCATAATTGAGACATTAGTTTCGAAGATATTCAATTTTAAGTGTAAAATGATTATGTTGAATGTTTCAAAATTGATTTGACCGAATTAATCTTTTTATGTGAAAAAGGCCGTATCAATGTACTCAAATGTACATGCAAATTCAAAGTTTTAGATATATTGTGATTTTAAATTTAAATGATCATATGGATCATATCTTAACAAATATAAATTAATAGGAGAAACTAATTCGTAGAAACCATTCCGAAGCTCGCCATCAATTTATTGACGGCATAGAAGATATACCCATAAATTTCAATAACTCATCTAGAGTCGCATAATTACTATCGACTGCTTTTTCCATTATCTTTTTATAACTATTCGAGTGGTTCCCGCAACACAAATTTTATCCCAAATTTTGATATATTATGGGCTCACAAGATAGAATTTAAACAAAGGGTCACATTCAATAGATAGTACATACGGACCTTAGTAAAAGATATAAAGCGGCGTTCATAAGGACACCTTAGTAAGCTGGTCAAAAAACGTCAAAAAAAATGCATTGGCGGATACATGTTTGAAGGCATAACAGAGCAGCTCCTCGTGGCTCTGCATTTTATATTATTGAATACCAGCGCGACCCCGTTTTTTTTTTCAGAATTTTTTTACTTCAATGTTATCATTGTTACTTCAAAGTCACACAATCAATTATGATTTTCATTGTTGCATTTAGGTTCTTCCATACCTAAGACAAAAGATATCAAAGTTTTTCATAATTCTAATTATGCTCACTCCAATTGAGTTTAATTAATTTTGTGTTACGTGAATTCCAATTAATGCAACATTCGAAAGATTAAACCATTTTAATTTTCTTCTCTATAGCTGTTTAAACATATTGAGTTTTATCGAATCCTTGGTAAAATCTCATATGTTACCCTTTTTTTCCTCTCAAATTGAATTCAGTGTTTTTAGTTTGAATGCTTTCGCTAAATTGTTCATAAATTCCACTTTTTTTCCAACATTATACGTACTTTTTGGTCTTAATTATTAGAGGCCATTTTCAACAATAAGAAAAAAACGAAAAATAAAAATTTCGAAGTCGAATTATGAAATCGTCAAAAATTATAATGGGACATATTTTTTTTTAATGGCACACTAACAATCCATTTTTCACCATAAGAATAATTTTTTCAGCATTGCCATAAATTTTTCCATTTCTGAAGGAAACAGGTCTGAAAGTTTTTACCATTTCCTAGATCATTATTAAATGAGTTATGTATGGCGTTCATTATACATTAAAGAAAATGGATAATTTCAAAGTAACTCTGATTGTTAAATTTGAAATCCAAAGCGATTCTACAGTTCAAACTTCAATGTTAAGTTTAAAGGTGTTCTACACCCAT